CACACACACACACACACACACACACACACACACACACACACACACAAAGATTCAAACAATGTTATTAAAGCTTGCCAGAAGCATATCCGTGAACTGAATATGCACCGTGAAAATCCCTAATAATGAAGGCATTTCGGTAACTGCAGCTACTTAAATTCATTCATTGTAAGTAAAAAAAGAATATATCCAGCTACATTATGTTCAACTGAATTAAGGAATTTTAATCATCCAGATTTTGCATTCAGTCATGCTGAAAGGAGGGTGTATTACCAATCATAAAAGCTGTTATTGGAGAGAGCATGCTCCATTGAAACTGGGCTCTTATTTTGCTGGTTTGTAGCATCATAGGTAATGCTTTTATTAACACACAATGCTTGGAAGAGTACAATGGAAGAAAAAACACAATTACTTCTTCCATGAAGATTCTGAGTCATAGCATACTTACAGGTATTGAGCCAAAGCCAAACAAGCAGATTTTTTTCGTCTGTTGTTTTTGCATTGATATATTAGCAATATASTGCAACATTACTAGCTTCTTGCTTCCAAAGCTTTATTTGTAATTTTTCCTCCTTTCCTGAGCTGGCTTTCTTTATCTCTAACACATAGTCGAGGTACATTGAAAAATGCAGTTCTTTTCACACGCTGCGCCACAGATGTGGGAACATACAGGCCTACATTTCTTGAGTTCACATAAATCTCAAGTCTGTACAAGTGAGCTTAGATGCCGCTGAGAGAAACAGAATTTAGTCGAAGTCAGTTTACGAGGAAACAGACAAATGAAAAGGAATAAACACAGACATTGTGTTTGATAAAATAGCGGGATGAACAAAAGGGTGTTCAAAACGGTTGAAAGCATTCAGACGCTAAGAAAAACACACAATGAGCTCAAAATTACCCTCATGAGGAACATGGGAGCGCTGACCGTGGGATAAATTTTCACCCATCTTGGTAATATTCTGACTCTGTGGAGTAATCTTCGTGCTCATTCTACCTGAYGGGGAACCCTGTGGCATATAATCAAAAGAAAAATATGAGTTCAGTGACTAAATATTTTTGTTTTATTGTCCTCCTGTAATGGCACAGAGAATTCCCAGAGAGAGACTCACCAATCAGCCAAAACATTAAAAMCATCTTTATAACCATCTGGCCATTGACAGTATGGATTTTTTTATATCTACTACAAGTTGCCAAAGGAAGGACAGTGTATCAAATATCATGGCTTAATTRTACAGTATGCTTGGTAATTAAGAGCCACATATACTCCAACTGCTGAAAACCTTTCTGCAAGCTACAAGAGAGCGGTGTCAGAGCATATCATAGCTATATTTTATGAGGCCGAGTCACTTAAGAATGAACAAGTGTCTGCAGTGACCTCAGCTCATTGCCAAAAGCACCTACAGAAGTCATATCAGCCACCAAACTGCACCCTGCAGCAGTGGTAGAAGGTCGCCTGATCTGATGAATCACATTTTAACGAAGCCTAAAATGGTGTGCATCATTTTATCTGGGGAAGATATTTCAGCAGGACAATATATGTGAAGAAAACAAGTGCATGAGGAGAATCTGATACTCTGAACAATGTTCTGTTAGGGTCATAGATAGTAACCTTCATGGCAAACCACTTTACATAGCAAGACTCTTCCATATTGTCTCATATAATCAAAAATTTAGCTCTTATTATTATTATATGGGTCGTTTCTATTATACTGTATACAAAACTATTTTGAAATGAACATGTCAAAGCACTTAAAGTTTAAACTTGGCCTCACAATTTCCCTGATTTTTGTTTGATTCAGGATTTGAGAGATGTGCTGCATCTAACCCACAGAGCCCCGCTGCACATCTAACAGTAGAAGATTTAAAGGACCTGCTTCTGATGGTGCTGTATACCCCCGGACATCTTCCCAGGACTTCTGAAGGCCATGCCTTCAGGGTCAGTTTGGGCTRCAACTACATTAAAATGGAACCTACACTAAAGCGGTGACATGTTTTTTTTTAACGTTCTAGCTGACCAGTCTGTCTTTTTTTCTTYTTCTAGAATTAGTTAGATTAAAGAATTGTAAATAATGGGTACATTTCTCTTCATTCTGTCTGAGGTTGTGCTGCTTTTTCTTCCAGTCTGTGGAGATGGTGCTGAAGCTCTGGAGCCTGAGGCTGTGTGTAAGACACCCTGGGGCTTGGCTCTCCGATCTTTGGTTGATATGGCAGTGGGAGACTGATCAGGTACTGTAGAAAAAGAAAGAAAATTCCTCAACTTATTGGTGAACAAACCAGAATATTTAAGGTGAGTAAGGAACAGCATTTTGTCTAGCAACAGTGTCTATTTTAAGGTCCTTTATTCCTCTGTGAATGAAGAAAAAAAGAACCCATTAAAGAAACTGTTTTATAGCTTATGTAGTGTCTCACTATTTTTTGTTACAAGCCAATTTTATCACGTTTATAAAAATACAGAAATAGGAAAAAGGATCTAAATTGGTTGCTACAACAGATCTGATAGTTGATAGATTTTTTTTCTTTCTAATCTAACAATCTGCTTCATTTCATCATGTGAAAATAATAGGCTGAAGTGGGAGTTGTTGTGAAATGCCATCAACCTGACCTTGCTGTATGTGTGCCAGGGCTAATCAGGACCACCTCTGCTGAAGCTAACAGCAAAAATACACGTTCTGTCTGATCCTCATCAAAGCAYCGAGCAAACACTTCCACTCGGCAAGACAAACATGATCGACAACACGATACAGACAGAGATTAGCTGGAAGAAAARAGGAAATCACTTTTTTTTTGGCGATACAACAGATGGAACACACTGAGATGTACCCCTGGAGTGAGCAAATTTCAGTGTGCTTTAAATCTGTCAAAAGCCCATAAAGATTGGGATAACAAAAAAGGATTACTATRAGATGTACGTTCAGTGGAAGTATTTTCTGTACGGATTTGGGTCTGTGAAAATTCATTGACCTTTAGAGCAAACAGAGAGTCTTTGGTGCAGCACCGGGATAATGGGGGCTTGTTTGTTGCTCCATGACAAAAAAAAATCAGTAGAGTCCTTTTAACAGTTTCTGACAGACTGGGTTCTAAAGGAACAACATACTCCAAACAACTTTGTCACAGTTAAATTGGATGCCTGCTTTAATAGCAATCMTTTTAATTATGATTAGGTATGTTGTGCTAATAATGCAGATGCTAATTAGGAGGAGATATTTCTCGCGTGTGGATGTTGCTCTCTTCKAAGGGCATTGCTGCTTGATTCAACATGACTTGGACAGCTGTCAGAACAAATAAATATTTGATGATAAAAAAGGCCAAAAAGGCAGCAGAAGAGGATTACTGGTGCATGTCTTTTTTTGTAGGAGATAATTGCAGCTCCCAGAGCACAGGTGAGGCCCAAATGAACACGAGAATGAAGACCACAGTAATTTCAAACAAGGAAAACAGTATAATTAGTATAACCACAGAGTCTTTACTGAAAAAATAAATATATAATAGATTTTCACACAGTCAAATGGACATACATTAAGGGTATTTTCACACCTAATAGTCTGGTAGACTCGGTTCGACTGGAGACCAAAACTGCAACATTTGCTTATATTTTTCAGCCGGTGCGGTTGGCTTTCACACTGCACTGTTTTAAACAAACCAAACCCTTTGTACAACCTGTTTACCTCCTCGCCTCTGGTGGCACCGCACCAAGAATCACTGAAGGAAACAACATGAAAACCTTTGACCAAGACACTGAGCACAACTTCCTTTTTCACAAAATGTTAACAAAAATCAGTGACATCAGATTTTAGGGATTGCAGAATTTCTCTTATTTTTGGCAAATGTTCCGAACGAACACTCTTCAACGATGGGCTCAGCTTGGGCAAAAAGATGAGGCAGGAGACTGTGGAGAATGTTCCTTTTCACACAAGGCTGCTGAGACGGCTTCTTATGACAGGGTTATTCAACTGGCGGCCCGCGGGTCACATCCGGCCCACGAGTGACCAAAGTTTGGCCCACCAATGGATTCATTCATCTCTTAAGTCCAAATCTCCGGGTTTCTACTTTAATTACTCAAGTTATTTTAGTTAAACATAGGCATGTTTAGTATCTACAGAAACGTCAGGATCTTGGATACAAGCTGGTAAAAACCATTTCAATGAACACTCAAGACGGTTAAAATGACAAGCAGTTGAAGATAAAACTATGAAAGTGAAAATAAAATGGGTTTAAAAATTTGGCAAGTCAGAGATGTCAAAATAATATTTGTGTGAAATAGGAGGCATAATGTGTCCTTTTTGTTTTTGATGTTTAATTATCACTACTTTTATAGGGTTCTGTATGTTGTATTCATGATTAAATGCAGAAAAAAAAACTATTTCAAAGGTAACAGATCTTGTAATAATTGGTTTATTTACATAACGACTTTAATTGCTGGATGCTCGGCCCCTGAACTGTTGACCTGCAGTAACTGTGGCCCCCGGAGCAATTTAGTTGAATAGCCCTGCCTTTTATGAGGTGGCGTGTACTGAGTGGGRGAGCATCCAACTTCACAGCAGTGATGTCCACCTTACACAGACCTTGAGCAAGGTATATGAGTAACTTATTACTATTATTACTGTGCTGTAGTCCGCTCCCTGCTTTTGGAGTGGTCTGTGGTACGATTGGCATTCATCTAGGCTTCAACAAAGATGAGACTTAGGTTTTTTTGCAGAACAGAATTCCCCTTTTTGGTCCACATCAGAATTTGATTACAAATTCACACCTCCCCAAACAAACCAGACTTTCTAGGCAAACAAACTAGATTTCAATTAAAGCGAACTAAACAGTGAATGCACCCTGAATGACCAAAATTATACAGAAAAGCAGTCAAATTATGCTGACTCTGTAAAAATCACATTATATTCAATAGCTTAACATCTCATCTTTGCTATTATGCAGCTTTAACAGCCCCCTTCTTCTACACAGAAGGATCTCCTGACAGCAGGAATTTCATTCACTTCAGCACTGGATGGGGTCAGGTACCGATGCTAAAGATAAGACCAATTTCTCACTCGCCACGCCGGTTCATAGCAAAAGTGTTCAATAGAGCTTAGGTTAAGTTTCGTGATGGAAAAAAAATAAGCTGCACGTCGAACCCACACCTGGTTTTGTTCGTGAGGTTAGTGTCAAGCTAAAACATAAAAAGGACTGCAAGCTGCAAAGACAGCTGTCTAATACCACCGACTGCGGAGGCAGTCTATTGCAGAAGTACACAAGAGAATGAAGTTAAAATGACATGACTTTCTCATATTTTCTTTTATCTTGTTAAATGGCTCAGTGCCTTTTTTATTGAAATTGACTGCAGTTATTTTCTTTTTTATTATTTATTTATTTTTGTACAAATTATCTTGATCTGTGAATCAGAGGTTTTATGTTTACTTACCAGAGCCAGAGCTGAAAGGATCAGACCTCATTTCTGCCTTCCGTAAATTCTCGATGCTCAACATGTGAGCAATTTGGCGCACATCTTGTGGGTACCGGAAGCTTTGAGGGATCACGTCCACAAGACTGGCTCCATTGAGAAACGCATCTGTATTAAAACATGAACAATTAAAAAATCCTCAAAGAGTTCTGAAAAAAATTACGATGGAGTATTAGGGCCACACAACGAGAGTTTTTTTAAAATTTATTTATTTTAGTTACGAGAATAAAGTCATAATATTACGACATTAATGTTGTATAAAATAAAGTCATAATATTACGAGATTAAAGTCATATTACAAGATTGAAATCGTAATATTACGAGTTTAAAGTCATAATATTACGAGTTTATAGTCGTAATATTACGAGTTAAAAGTATTAATATTACGAGTTTAAGTCGTAATATTACGAGTTAAAAGTATTAATATTACGAGTTTATAGTCGTAATATTACGAGTTAAAAGTAATAATGTTACGAGATTGAAATCGTAATATTACGAGTTTAAAGTCATAATATTACGAGTTTATAGTCGTAATATTACGAGTTAAAAGTATTAATATTACGAGTTTAAGTCGTAATATTACGAAAGTACAGTCGTAAAGTACGAGTTTAAAGTCGTAATATTACGAGTTTATAGTCGTAATATTACGAGTTAAAAGTATTAATATTACGAGTTTAAGTCGTAATATTACGAGTTAAAAGTAATAATATTACGAGTTTAAAGTCGTAATATTACAAGAAAAAAGTCATAATATTGTAGCCTTTACATGAAAAAGCATGCAGTTACCACTGCATTAAAATGAGGAATGTTGAGCAACTTGTCAAGTTGTTCTTTAATAATGCTATAAATAAATAATCTTTTGGCACATTAGCATCAAATTATCAGTAGCAGGACTTGGAAATTGTGCAAACGACTGTAAACCAAAGCCGTATTGTAAGTAATGGATGCATTGACGGATTTAGTCGTCACATAGTTAATTTGGATGAAAGCATATTAATCTAACAATAATGAGTCATCACAGACTACTTTATGGCTGTACAGCAGGTGTGGGGAAAATAAGGAGGAAATGAGGAACGGGAAATAGACACGTCATGATTATGACTTTTCTCGTAATATTATGACTTTAATCTCGTAATAATAATTTTAAAAAATCGCGTTGTGTGGCCCTAATACTCCATTGTAAAAACTGACCAATATTTTGACAAATAATTTCAAACCGAATGTTTCTTAATTTTTTCACATCACTTACTACAAACACGCAGGACTCAGAAAACCATGCTGAAAGCTGGGACTACTGAGTGGCCTCAGTGAAAAGCAGTCTGTCATTTCTAGCTTTAAAAGCACCACGCTTGTTGATGAGCAAGAGGTTAGCAGCTAGAACGCTATAATTTACAGGTAAAAACCAAAGGCATTACCATAATCTGACATTTTTCCAGGRCCTATTTTCATCGTGAAGATTCTCCGGACTTTACAGGTGGCAAACAAAGTGATGCCATCCAGGGTCAGAAATCCTTTGAAGAGCTCACTGGTCCATGACACCAGATCGATGCATAAAGTAGACCACTGAGATAACAAATACGACTCAATTTTTAGTCCACAGTGATACAGCTTGAGCGTGACTCTTAAATGAGAAAAATATGTGACTAAAAAAACCAGCAACAATCAGTCATTTCAAAAAAACCTCTAAAAGGATACATAATGCATGAAATACAGTTTATACTCACAATATCACGCTTCAACTCTGTGAAAGGTATCTTTGCATGCAATAATGTTGTAGACAACTCCTTATGCACTGTTGAAAAGTGAAGTCTTCTTTTTTGATGCTCCGAATCAGTTATCCTGTAAATAACAGATAAAGAAGCACATAAATTACCACAGGCAACTACGGTGTCACTAAGATGTGCCAAATGGAGACAAATTGAATCTTTATTGGTCYCTAAGGTGAACTTTAGAGGGTGCCTTCACTTTTATATTATGCCATAAAATCAGCTGTCATGATGCACTTAAATGGCAACAATAATTCCCAGAATTTATTTTCGAAGTTTGGTTAAAAAAAAGTCACACATTTGTTGATATCTACAGATGTTCGCATTGCCATTGAAGTTCACTGAGTTGTATTATTTCCGTTATAAAAACAAAATAAAGATCCTTGTACTCACACAAGCTCAGTGGAAAAATCATGGCGCTGAGGAATATTCACTTGAAGGACCAAAAACCTTTGGATAAGCCCGACTGCAACAAAACAGCAGAGAACTGAACTGCAATTAACTTAGTAAAAGGTAAATAAATGCTACCGATGGATGTGTGTGAAAGCTTGGTGGTGACTTACGAGACATTTTTGCATTCTCTGGCATTTGCATCTTGACTGTCTGGCTGCTTCCCTCCAAACAGTAAACAAATCCTTTAACTTCTTTATTATACTCCTAAGAGAGAACATAATTCAGAAGAGGGCCTTGTCGAGTCTAAGTCCTTGCAGGTTATGACTGGTATACCTGTTGTGTAAATGTCCCCGGGAGTGACAAATGGGTTTTATGTGAGCAAATATATGAGGTTGGAGCTATAAAATCTATGTGTCAAGATCAATTCAAGCTGTAAAAAATGTTTAGTTGGCAGTATTGCTTGGCATATTGTAATGAAGGKAAGAGTATTTGTCAGTGTTGCATGAAAAAAAAGCAACTAACCTCCACTAAAAGTGGTTGGTAAACATCTGATTTGATTAATAGGAGTGCCACCATATGCTGCTTATGTAGTAAACAGTGTTACTGAGCTGTTGTGTTACTTATTAGATGTTGCAGGAATTGTTGAGGATGCTACTGGACTTTAAAGGACACAGGTCCCTGGTAATGCTCACTTTATGTATAGCCGAGGGTCCTCCACAAAGTTTCCATTTAGCTACAGGGTCTTTTCCTTGTCCACTGAAGATGTCAAACACAGCTCCCCCCTGCAAAAAGCAACAACACTGGCTAATGATTGTACCCAACAATGTTATTCATGTTGCAGCTGTAACATTCATAAATAACACGTTTAACCTGAAGCTTAAATTATATRATTTAAGCTTCAGGTTAAACGTGTCATTAGCAAATTGCATTATTAACTTAGTGTAAACTGTTCAAATTAATAACCTGCACTTACCTGATACTCGTTCCTGAACATTTTTTGCGTCAGACTGACGTGCCTTCAGGTCACCTGGACAAATAAATTAGCTATCTAGGAATCACCTCCGTATTCCAAAAGTATTGTACGACATACTAACAACTCTAATTTTATTTCTTAAACAAAATAAGTAGGTAGCCTTATATATGAAGTGCCAATGAGAGACACATGTTTTGTTCAGCTAGTAGCCCGTGGTAAACCACTGTTTGTTTACCACGGGACGTGTTTCCACGGTTACCACTCTCCAAGCAGCAGACAGCCCATTCGTGGGAGCGGATCACGTGACTGAAACCGGAACTAAACACCTCTGTCTTATTTTTCCACTAATTAAATTTTAATGTTTATACAGCCATAACACAGAAGATAACACACAAGAAGATAGGAAAATGTCAGCTTTCTTCACATAATGCTTGTTTAATGTTTAATTTTATTTGACCAATTCTTAAAGTAGCTATAACATTCTTTTGTACCACCATAAATCATCTGTAATTTAATTAAGTACATCCATAGTTATATAAAACAAATGACAAAATTATATAACCCAAAGGTTTAAAAATTACTAATGTTAAAGGCCTAACATCTCTTGAAGGTTTATTGCCCGCCACCTCGTATGGTAGAGTTTTAAGATAATTATGTAGGCTAGATCAAATTTAAAACACAAATACACGTGTTATACCACTGTTTCCCAACACACACTGTCCTGCACRCTTTAGAAGTCTCCCTGCTTTAACACACCTGATTCAGATGATTGCAGTTCAACAAAAGTCTGCTAATCACCTGTCAACTGAAATCAGCTGTTTTGAAGCAGAGAAGCATCTAAAACATGCAGGACAGTGTGCCGTGAGGACCAGGATGGAAAAACACTGACTTATATGACGGAGTAGTAGGGCCACATAATGAGATTTATTATTATTATTATTATTATTATTATTATTA